ATATGTCATATAGGCTGTTTTCATGTATGAGTTTTGTAAACGCCTTGGCGGATGGTTTGAGCGTGAGGTGTCTGGGTGTTGTACTTGGCATGGTGGAGTCCAGACGTGTGTCCATTATGTGGTTGAAATCGCCACAGATGATCCTTGGGTCTGTTGCATCTTCAGGGAGTTTGTTTAGGACCTTGTGTAGGAAATTTCGTTGTTGGTCATTTGGGCTGTAGAGGCACACGAGAACGTATGGTTGTTCATTGATCCTACATTGTAGGATTATATAGCGCCCTTGGCTGTCTATCTTGGCTCTGAGCGTTTCCACCGTCAGTGAGTTATGGAACAGGATGGATACTCCCCTGGATTTGGAGGAGTGTGTGGCGTGGAATTGCATGGGGTAGTCTCTGCTGGCAAATTTAGGGACTTTGCCTGATACAAAGTGTGTCTCTTGTACGCAGATTATGTCGGCTTTCAGTTGTTTTACATCGTCTAGTAGCATGCGTCTTTTGTGTGGCGTGTTGAGGCCTTTGGTGTTGTGCGAGTAGATGATCATGTTTGTTGTTGTGTGGTGTGGTGGGGAGGCGGGGGGGTAGGTGATCTCTCAGGTGTACGTTTTCAAGGCCGGTTCGATTGCGAGTGGTTTACACTGGTGTGCAGGGTTGGGTTGGGTTTGTTGGGGTGGTTGGGGTGGGTCTCGTGGTGGTATGGGAATTTTATACAAAGACCTAGCGGTCTGGTACTCTAGGCGTACCGTGGGGTTTAGGAGCGGGAGCTTCCAATGAAACGTGGCTAATTGGGCTCCTCTTCAAATACAGATGGTTAAGCTGAAACCTCAAAGTCGAGGTCAATGAACATTTAAACATGAATACATAACTATAACAGCATGTAATTTGAAGCATCATTTACATAACAAATAACATTTAATGCCGAAGGGCAAGCAAGTACTTTTCACTTTCCTCACAAGTGGGTTTTATGTCACCTGTCGTCACTGAGTATAGATGAGGTGTCTTATGCCCCCGGGACCCGGTGCGCCTATTTCGTGGGCAGTTGTTTCGCGTGGTGTGTTCAGTGTGTAGTCATGAGGCCTGGTGTAGGTACCAGTGGGGCAGATGGTTGTCGTCCAGGGTGGTCAGCCCCTTTTTTTTTTTTTTTTTTGTTTTAAGTTTTTTACGTTCGTGATAAGTACCACTTCCGTCCCTTGGGTTAAGGTTTTCAGGGCCCTTAGGTACTGTCAGCATGTGTGTTTGGGCAGTTAGTGACTACCTCATAGGCTTCACCCGTGTCAGGCGCGTCTGTCCCCTCGTCTGCAGGCAGTGCGCAGGGTGTTGTGCCTAGCAAGGTTACGGCAGTCGGGGTCTATGTCCGGAGCTGTCCGCCTCCCTTTGTCCCACGTGACCTCCCCCCATGTGGGTGTCGAAAGGATCCCTAGAGGGTCTGTTGTAGCGCATGCGTATCTGGGTAGTCAGACCCCCCGTTTTCAGAAGGTGTTGGCTAGCCTTGGGTATATTTAAATGGTACCTAAGAGGCTAATAAAACACTGGGGGAGATTCTCACACTCCTAGGTTTTAAGCAACTTGTCGCTCTAAGTTAATGTGTTGGGTTACTGTATGCGCTATGCATGCAGTGTAACATCTCTCGGGGGTGGTGGGGAGTTCAGTATTATATACAGTTAGAAGCACAGTGCATAAAAGACATGTGTAAATTAAACCGCAATGAAAGTTAGAGGAATATACAGTTCATGATACTTGCGCAGACTTGCTTGCCGCTTCGAGGGTAACTTAACAGTCCATGTGCTTTGGCCGGCCCGGTGTGCGGTTTTTGGGCCGTTGGGTTTCAGACGGGTTCTCCAATAAATTCCACTTTTCGAGCAGAGTTAAACCGTCCTCCGGGGTCGGGATAATGGTCGTTTTCCCGTTCTTATTGATGATCAGTTTTGTGGGGAACCCCCAGCGGTAGCGTATGCCGTTGGTGCGTAGTGCCGTGGTGGTCCGGAGAAAATCCTTCCTTCGGCGCAGGGTGGCTGATGATATGTCCGGCATGATGCGTACGGATGGAAAGTCTTCGTGTGGGTCCGCCTTGCTTCTGTGGGCACAGAGGACCAGCTCTTTGATGTGAAAATAATGGGCCCTGAGGAGTACATCTCGTGGTATTGAATCCGGCAGGTTCTTCGGTTTCGCCACCCTGTGGATCCGGTCCACTAACAGCATGTCTGCCGGTATGTCGGGGGCATATGCTCTCATAAGGCCCCTTGCGTAGGCCTGTAGATCTTCAGGGAGGACAGACTCGGGAACACCGCGGAGCCGCAGGTTGTTCCTGCGTGCCCTGTCTTCGTGGTCTGCCATGCGGTCCTCCATGAGTGCCACCTTCCGTTGGAGGTCTTGGAGGTGTTCCGAGGTCAGCGTTTGTGCGGCCTCTAGTTCTGTGTGGCGTTTTTCCACCGCCGAGGTCCGGGCCGAGAGGTCTCTCACCTCTCTTTTAATTTGATCGGCCGTCTGCTGCCAGGTCTGGATGAGTTTATCCGCCATTTGTTCCATTGCATGCTCAAAGTGGCTTCTAGTTAGATTTTCCGCAATGTGGAGGTCTGTCAATGTCCCAGAGGGGGTGATCGAGGCGGCTTCGTCTCGTTCCTCGTGTCCGGCTGCCTGTAGCGGGTCCGCCGTGAGGGAGGGTTTGTGACCGAAAAAATTAATTTTTTCTGCCTTCGAGGTATTTTTCTTTGTTTTAGATGCTGCCATTATGTTTTGGGGGAGGTAAGTAGGGTTTCAGCTCGGGTGCAGTTATAATTTGTGGAGCCCTCGTGCCGGAGCAAATTTTCAGGCGTCCATCTTGCTCGGCGGTTAGCCACGCCCCCCGTGTTGCAATATCTTGAAGATTCTTATTCATTTTGTTGGGCCTTTATTTGAAAATCCTTGACCCTTTTTATCAATGTGCACCTGTACTGCACAGTCATAAAATGTTTTTCAAATGCTCACATTGACGGTGTTGGAATTTCACTGAAACTCCAATGCAATCAGAAGATATCACAAGACTAAATAGGGACTCCCTGGTCACTTTGTGCCATTGCACAGCAAGTGGAGATGTCTCCTTTGAGGGAATTTGCAAAATATGCAAGCACCCAGGAAGATGACTGAGCCACGTGAACAAAATTGGGTATATTGTATTTTTAAAATTTAATTTATTTATAATTACTGTTATGAATAAGATATACATAGTTATGTGCTCCCTTAACTTAAACAAATAGATATTCGTGAAGTATGAAAAATAAAATTAAATGAGGAAATCCCCACCCTTACTTCCATCCTTATTCTGCAACAGGGTGCCCTTCCCTCTTAACTCTGTCAATCATTGTTATAAGATCTCTTTTGCACCTGGCAGTCAACATAGAGAAAGCATACAGACTATAGGAGAAATTAAGTCATGGTTTTTATTTATCCTTCTCATCTGCATTGTGTTCCCTGCCTTTGCCTTCTTAGAATTGGATTATGATATAATTTGATAAACCTTTTTAATATAAATTTAAAATAACATGTAGCCTCTCACAAGGAAAAGAAAGGTTAACATAAGTTATAGGCAATTTCCAATGTTTCACTGAATAGTTTACAGGTGCCTGTACTGCTGATGATCAAAATCCACCTCTCCAAAACAAAAGAATTAAGGAAGAGTTAACTGGAGGAGGGGATTGGGGACCTGGCAGTTTGCACGTGGGTGACATAGCAAACTGGGACATTGGAGACACAGGGGAGCCCCATTTATTAAATCCAGGGGTCAAATGGCTTTTTACCCACAAGTTTGAGAAGTACTGTTTTAGAGCTTTTTTTTTATAGTTTGCTAAATTTAAAGGAACACTATAGTCACCTAAATTACTTTAGCTAAATAAAGCAGTTTTAGTGTATAGATCATTCCCCTGCAATTTCACTGCTCAATTCACTGTCATTTAGGAGTTAAATCACTTTGTTTCTGTTTATGCAGCCCTAGCCACACCTCCCCTGGCTATGATTGACAGAGCCTGCATGAAAAACAAACTGGTTTCACTTTCAAACAGATGTAATTTACCTTAAATAATTGTATCTCAATCTCTAAATTGAACTTTAATCACATACAGGAGGCTCTTGCAGGGTCTAGCAAGCTATTAACATAGCAGGGGATAAGAAAATCCTAATTAAACATAACTTTTCAGAGAAACTGCTATGTTTATAAATTGGTTAATCCCGCCTCTAAAGCCTCTAGTGGCTGTCTCATTGACAGCCGCTAGAGGCATTTGCGTGCTTCTCACTGTGAAAATCACAGTGAGAAGACGCCAGCGTCCATAGGAAAGCATTGTAAATGCTTTCCTATGAGACTGGCTGAATGCGTGCGCAGCTCCTGCCACGCATGCGCATTCAGCCGAGGAGGCGGAGAGGAGGAGGAGAGTTCTCCGCCCGGCGCTGGAGAAAGGTAAGATTTTAACCCCTTCCTCTCCCCAGAGCCCGGGGGCACCCTCAGGGCAGTATAGTGCCAGGAAAACGAGTATGTTTTCCTGGCACTATAGTGGTCCTTTAACAGAGAAGGAAATCACATTTTCTAAAGTAATCACACTATGCTATAAGATCTGATTGAATGTGAAACCATTATTTTTTTCATGTTGGCTATGTGTGTCACAGCAAGTAAGAAGTGTGACTAGACCATTATAAACAAAAGTGATTTAACTTCTAAATAGCAGAGAATTGTGTAGTGAGACTTCAGGGGCATAATCTGTACATTAAAACTGCTTCACTAAGCTAACGTTGTTTTGGTGCTTAAACATCTCTCTTTAAAGTGGAACTGTCATTTGTGTGCGTGTTGTGTATATTTAAAAAATAAATAAATTGTTTTCCTCTTTCCGCGCAACTTTAAATTAAATGTTAGTTAATGTTTTTTTGGTTTTTGGATTTTTTTTTTTACATCTATTTATTTATGTTAAGGCTGCATGGTATGCCTATTATCATAACCCCAGAGACACGTTGTGGGACACAAAAAGAGTTCAAACCCCACACATGAGCACATCTAGGGCATCATTATATGATCTATATGGTTAGCTACGGAATGGATATCATGGCTAAATGTGTAATATGGCGATAAAATATAGATGGAAATGCAATATGGTGATAAATGCAACAATAAAATATAGATAAATATGTAATGTGATGTGATAAAAACAACGATAACATCTAGATAAATATGTAATGTGGTGATGTTGCTGTTATTGCTTTCATTTAAGCTAATTTTTAGTAGATGTCTTCCTAGCTTCTCCTGTGGCAACCTTGGATCTGAGCCATTTGGCTCCTGTTCCTTTAAAAAAGGTTTATTTTGGTTAAAACATATCAAGTGGCCACGTGATACAATGTAACATTTAGTAGGATCTGTCACATCCTTTTAAATATCCGTACATATGATACTTTGTCTCTAAAATAAATACATGCATTTTATATATTTTGGCGCTCCCTATATTATTTACTTTATCCAAGAAGTTGCCTATATTTAGTGGGATAACACACTATTTAGTTGTTTTATATTGCAAAGGAACCACTCAATTTTAAGTGTTGGGCATGGGTAGGGTTACTTGCGCTTTATTTTTTTATAATAATTCATGTCTTTGCTAATCGTAGAGATTAGTTGTATTTGTTCTATAGAAAACTTTCAAACCATTTAAATATATTGTGGCTTCTCTGTTGATTTGTTTCACCCTAACATTTTTCTTGTATTCCTGCTCACAGATGGGGAGTCCTTCCACTCGTCTGACACGATCCTTTTGGATCATGCTAACACCGCAAAGCTGCGTATAAAGGAGGAAAGGTCGGAGTCTCGAGGGAGCTCCTCATTACCCAATGAAAATGACCTATTGGGTACAGATGGAGAAGGCTCCTCCCACAGCGCTGGTAAGTATATGTTTTGAAGCAAAAACAAAGACTATGAGAACTCGAACGGACAAAAGCTTAAAGAAACTCAGAAGCTTGCCCTTTGGTAAATCCATGCTCCGGTTTCAAAATAATTTTTGCTCACTTGTGCAATTACAGAGAGAACCTATCTGAAGCACTTTAGACTGGTCCCACCCGTAAGAGCAGTCCAGAACCGAAATGCCAGCAAGTTTACATTTTAAACTCTGGTTGGCTGAAAACTAGTTTAAAATCGAACCATCAATACCTAGATTCTTGCAGAACCCAGTAGCAATAAGTTGGCTGTAAAATAAAACATTAATTCCCAAAAATCTCAGTAGTTTTCATTTTAGTTGCAATGCCAGGCATGAGATTTAATTTACATTAGCCTCGGATTGTCATTAACTTGATGTGAGGGAACAAGGAAATATTCCTTCCAGAGAAGAAACTGATCGCTTTCATCATTTTTACAGTACTTAAAAACAAGAAATAAAAGCTTAATAACTGTTTGACATTTGGTGAATAGCTAGTCTGTACATTTATAATAAAACAGCAGTGGTGCATATACATTGCGTTTTGAGTATACCTTAAGCAAGATAAAGAAAATGTGAATTTGTATAATTTTGCAATCATTCTGTTACAGACTTATTGGGAGGAGGACTAGTTTTCCTTATTGTGTGTCCCTCATCTTTGTGTTTGTGTTTTTTTTTTGTTTTTTTTTAACATAAATAAAATTTAGTTACCATGCTTGAGGGCATTTATAAGGAGCATATAGGTAGGGTATAATGGATTTGGTAGTGGTTAAAGATGATCAGGTCTCATTAATATTTTGGTGTATTCATGCGATTTCAATAATGTGAGGAAATGTATTAGCAATGCTTACCTCATTCTGTTGGGTTAATAGTGGCACTTAATTGAGGTCAAAGGCATTGTGTCTAGATTAGGAACCGCATGATCTGTGTATATCTAAATACTTGTATATTTTAACAGCTGAGGAACCAGAGCGGAAGAGGAAGAAGGGTCCGGCGCCAAAGATGCTGGGAAATGAGGTTTGCAGTGTCTGCGGGGACAAAGCTTCTGGATTCCACTACAATGTACTCAGCTGCGAAGGCTGTAAAGGTTTCTTCCGGCGGAGTGTCATAAAAAATGCAAAGTACACATGCAAGAATAATGGCAAGTGCCAGATGGACATGTACATGCGTCGCAAGTGCCAGGAGTGCAGACTTCGGAAATGCAGACAAGCAGGCATGCGGGAACAGTGTGAGTGAGCAAACATTCCTGGTACAATGGTACTTGGGATAGTTTATAGGAAAAGGCACTTGAAAGAGATTGAGAGAATTCCCGGAGGTGGATTGATTCAAACCTTTTTTTCAAGTCATTTGTTGGTTATTTAATCAGATGTATATAGATGGACTTATGTTCCAGGTAGAGCCAGATCAACTTAAAAGGCTTTCTGGGAGAAAGGTTAACAGGTTTATCCCATTTTCAGAGCTATACACAAGATATGTTTAGCATGTGGTGTGTGCATGTGCCAGAGGCTCTCCTGGTGCTTAATGCAGGAGTGTGATATTGCCTGGTGAACCAGTAGGAAGCCACAAGTACATGTATGCAATGTCAGCCATTTTCCATTGAGCCTATTCAGCCTATTGAGTGTGCATCCCAGATTGCTTAAACCAGAAAAGGTAAGCATTTTTGAGGGGGCACAAGAATAATACTTGTTATACCAAAAAGGAAGATTTGGGGAAATCTCCCAAGAGAGGCCTAGGAATCAAGTAGAATAGACTGGAAAAAAAATAGAAATGAGAAAACGGTCACTTCCTCCTGAAGACCTTTTCTAACGTCTTACAATGTTGCTGTACATGGCAATTACGTCTCATAGACAACTACTGCGTCTAGGTCCCCAGCGTTGGATTACAGGCAACTTTTATGTCATTTTTTAACTTTTGCTTTACTTTTTTATTTTTTTATTTTAAGAACAAAGAGAAATCCTGCATCTCAACAAACAAAAAAACAGCCTAAATTTTAGTGTTAAAAATCAATATATTTATTCATTTTTAATGTCTGTGTTCCTGAGGGCTTTTTGTGGCACAGAAACCCCATGGTGCTTTGCAAGATACCGCTGCATTATGGGAATTCTATACCAATATCTGAGAGCGACATTTAGGATATTGATGACCTAGCGTTGTTGCATGGTTTTAGGATATCACCATTTTTGGGTTTGTACATTGTAGAGGGAACATTTGTGGGATTTTAGCAGTCTCATCCTTTGGAGTGCCCGAGGTTATATTTAACATGTTCCGCCTTTGTTGTCAGCCAGAAGCAATAACAAAGGAAGTTTGTGGCTGTGTTGTTCATTACATCAATCCTTTCCTTTACAAAAAACTCAAAAAATGTATGACCCATTAATTACTATGTATAATATCTAGTTGCTAATACTCTGATCAAGATTGCTTGTTGCAAACTAGTCATGGAATGTAGCAAAAGGCTACAGGAGGAGGACCCTACCTTGCACATTAATGGCTGTTTTTTGAGCCTCTCAACAAGCTTACATTTTGAGCTGCTCCATATTTTATCAATTCACTTTGTGTTCCGTAAAACAAACCACATATCAATAATACTTTGTAACAGTTTTCTCATAATGAAAGTGGTTTAACATACAATGTGCAAAGTAGCCACAAAGTCACATGACAGAAGCTTGTGGATTTGAGAAGCCTCTGATTGGCCCGCAACCCAAGTGTTGTCAGGAGGGGGTCGTGGAAGAGCAGCTCGGGAAGCTTTGCCTGGCGCTGGATTTCAGGTAAGTAAAATATTTTATTACAGGTTTAACAGCACTTTGAAAGGGGGCAGACTTCTCCACAATGCACAATAGGGAATATTACACCAGAAAGGCACACTACTACTTAATTCCATTCCCAGCCTCCCACACCCCCCTTTGTTTTTCAACAATTTTCATTGTGCTGTCAGTGTGATCCTGACTTAAATGTGTCCTCTTACAGTATGTGTGCTGCTTTATTGTATAGGTGTGCTTTCGGAAGAACAGATCCGTAGTAAAAAGATAAGAAAGCAGCAACAGGACGATGATGTTGTGCGCTCCACGGCAGTATTTGTTCCCCCAAGCCCTTGTATGCTGTCCCAAGATATTGTCCAGCTCACTCCACAGCAAGAAGAGATGATCCAGCAACTGGTATCAGCACAGCAGCAATGCAACAAGAGATCGTTCAGTGATCAGCCCAAAGTAACGGTACAAAGTAACGGAAATTATATGTCTACACCAAGTGTGCCGATATGTTTGCACTATTCCATAACCTCACATTCTCATCTATTTGTGAGTTTGTTGGACATAGACTTAGTTAAAGGGACACTATAGGCACCCAGACCAATTAATCTCATTAAAGTGGTCTGGAGCAATGTCCCTTAATGATTAACACTACAGTGTTAATCATTGCACTACTGATTGCCTCTTATGGTGGTCGCAGTGCATGCGCGTTAGTTCCCCAGCCCAGTAAGAGGATGCGGAGATCGGCACTGCAATCAGGTAAGTACAGTAAGTTTTTTTTTTTATTTTATTTTTTTATTTTTTATTTATTTATTTATTTTTTGTTTATTTATTTATTTATTTTTTTAATTAAACCCTTATGGGGGGGGGAGGGGAAGGATCTGTAGTGCTAAGAATACGACTTTGTATTCCTAGCACTGTCGTATCCCTTTAATATTCTATTTGTTTTGGAGTAAATTAGATTTATTTTTTTTGTTTGTTTGTTTTAAGGTGGACTGAGAAATTGTATATGTGAAAATATACTCCAAGAGACATAACCACTACAGCATGCTGTGGTGCTGCTAGTCTCTTGAGGTACAGTCCGAGCATACAATGTAAATGTATTAACTGTCATGGTGCTCATGGGTGATATCACAGCAAGTCCTTCTTCACCTCTTGTCTATATTTTTTCTATTTTTTGTCAAAAATTTTATTCAGGGAAATCTCCCAAGAGAGCCCTAGGAATCAAGTAGAATAGACTGAAAAAAAAGAAATGAGAACCCGGTCACTTCCTCCTGAAGACCTTTTCTAACGTCTCACAATGTTGCTGTACATGGAATTAATATGTCGGCACTATATAATTGATGATGATAATATTAAATTGGCTTGCTTGCAGAAGGCACTATGAAAAGAATGACCGGGACTGAACAGGATTGTGCCAAGAGCATCATGGGGGATTTGAGCAATTCAGGAACACTTTTTTTTATTTTTTTTTATAAAGTGTTTGTTCCTCTTAAAGGTTGACAGAGGCACGCTACCAGGTTTCTAAGTGTTTCTGCTCAGTCCACTTTATTTTGCTCTTGATTACAGCTTTCCAAAAAGATCTCAAATAATTTTATTTATTTTCACTATCAGCCTTGGCCCCTGGGCAGTGATCCAAACAGCCGAGAAGCTCGCCAACAACGCTTTGCTCATTTTACGGAGCTCGCCATCATTTCAGTACAGGAGATTGTGGATTTTGCCAAACAAGTTCCAGGTTTCCTTGAACTGTCAAGGGAGGATCAGATAGCACTACTGAAGGCTTCCACTATAGAGGTAAAGATTATATATGCATGTATTAGAATTTCACATAATGCATTACGGTGCAGAGGAGGCATATTGCCATCTAGTGGACAATAATTAAGAAAGCATGAAACCTCTCTGCAGAATATGTTCATCTAAGAGTATTTATATAGGCTCATATTATTTTTACCTGCTTTGTCTTATACTATAACATTTCCCAGCATGCACTTAACCATCTCCTTCTGAACAGTCAATTAATTTTAAGTTATTACAACCTTCCTTCTCTGGTTATTTGGTCAGTTACATCAGGGAATGTCAAAATGCAAGCAGCGTCAAGAATGATGCGTTATAACAGCAAAGTTTATTTGGATTATTTCCATCTGTTATTTTTTAGTTAAAAGGGCAATTAAGACCCCTTCCCCCCTGCTTGCTGAAGTTCTTTCATGTCACAAAAAGTATTTATTTCAGTAGAAATTGGCACTTTTATAAATTAACCTCGTGACACTCTTCCTAGCTGTCAATTGGACCACTCGCCCTGTTAATTCCTGGTTTGTTTTGCTCAGTGGAGGTAAACTCAAGAGACCGGAAACTGCGTTGGGAAGTCTGTGGTGGGACAGCCAGTCTGGTCTGAGGAAGAATGGGAGGTCTTGCAAGAGTCCTGCAGCTTTTGCAAGCTTTTTTTTTTTTGATGTACATTCAGTGAAAAAATGCATAATGCATGTGTGTTTTTATTAGGGTATGTCTAGTAAAACGTGATTTTTATTTCATGGGGCGGTGAAGTGTTCCTTTAACCCCTTAAGGACCAAATTTCTGGAATAAAAGGGAATCATGACATGTCACACATGTCATGTGTCCTTAAGGGGTTAAAGTTCACGTTCAAGACAAAATGCTTTTCCTAATTTACCAATATTTTTGTACATTTGGAGTTTTCAGCTTAAATCTCTATGCCAGTGGCAATGGTGCACCAACCACTTCTAGCCAGTAACAAGGAATCTTGATTCCCATGGTAATTGCAAATGCAGTGCATCAAGTTGTGCTAATGCACCCTGCTCATAGCTCCATTTATTGGGTTACTCCGTAGACAGAGTGTGCATTTATGGGAACTCATAGTTACTGTAACTCAAATTTTGGGCCTAAAAGACCAAATCCTAAAAGATCTGCGAGTCGGCTGTGTTTTCAGTCTGGCTATTGTGTTGCTGACAATGCTCACTTTAGTGAATAAACCATGTTGTACTTATTAAGTTTTGTGCTGGAACTCCCTCAGTAAGGGACGGTTCACCTCTGTGTTAAACAGGGTTCTAGTTATTGTTGATGGCTAGATCCATCCGTAATACATGAATACTTACGCTCTTAGCATGGAAAGAGGGGGAAAAAAAAGAAGCTGTAGCCGCCATACAGTAAAAAAAAATCATAAAATGTCTGCACTTAGAGACAACCAATGATGACAATATCACCAACGCTACGCATTGTCCTCTCTTCACAATGTGCTCATGGAATTTAAAGTAGATATGTAGAGTAAAAGATAAAAGCATTGGCAAATCATTTTGTTTTGGGAGCACTCTCTTTGGAGAGACCACATTGATTTTTTTTTCATTGTGGCCTCAGCGAAGAACAAGCCCTGTGATTGGTTCTTGAGGGATTGGTTCTCAAGCACGCAGCTTCCTCACTATACAGTACAGGAACCGCACAGAGTTCCCACCACACGTTCTAGAACAGGGCACTGCTGGGAGCCAGCAGCCACCACGTGAGAAGACACGTCTGCTAGAAGTCACTTGAATGGTGAGTTTACAGCTTTGGAGGTTGATAAATCCTTCTTGTCTCCCTGCTCAGAGCTGTGGAGCAGTTAATGTGTGTTCACAATGCTTCTCTAACAAGGAAGTCTGTGCTGGACATAATGTAGAAGAATCTGCAGAAAGGAAAGTAAACTCAGGGCTTTGAGCGAGTTTCAGGGGTGCTTTTCTCAGCTCTGAGTGTACGCTAGCCTTCCTGACACGCTCCTTTTTATTCATTGATGATCTGTCCATTTTCTGGATTTATCTGCCGCTCTTTCCTGCCAGACATGCCCACTGGTGGCCTCACTATTTCTGTCTAATATCCGTATCTCCGTGTTGAGAGGTATACTTTTCATGAGACACAGGATGTCAGTAGAATGTTATTTTGTGTCCTTGACAGATAATGCTACTTGAGACAGCCAGGCGCTACAATCATGAAACTGAATGTATAACGTTCCTCAAAGACTTCACTTACAGCAAGGATGATTTCCACCGAGCGGGTGAGACATGCAATGTAATGGGCATATTGCGAGGAGCTAAATTATTTTGTGTTTCATTGTTTTTACTAATGGTTTTACATTTTAACAAAAATAAATAGTTCCATCTTTGCTTAGTTATTAAGCTAACTAAAATGTTTTACTTTTCTGATCCCTCATGGGTTCATGGGAACGTTCATCTTACTATGTGGCAGGTGACCGTTCCTCTTTTAGGAGTAAACTGTGGTGAATTTTTACTCAAGTTGCAGAATGTAGGTCAAAATTGCTGAGCTAGGAAAAAACATCCCGTCAGCCATAGTTTGGCTATTGTAGCCTGTATTTTGCAATTCTGTTTTCAGTTAACTACTGTTCACTGTTTACGGAATAAACTTTTTCGAATGCTGGAAATGGGAGAATAGCTTTTCAATTTTACACTTTCCTGGCACTAGAAAACTTTTTTTCTTTAGTTTCCAGTCTTAAAAAAAGAAGAAACTACACTGTATGCATGTCCTATTGGTTTTACTAAATTCTATTATCTATAAATATTATAATTTTTTTTTTTTTTTTTTTTTTAAGCTAAACTATTAACATAGATCTAAAAGTGCAGTAGATTCAATGTGTTCTTTTGTAATTCATACATCATGCTATTGGAATCTGAAGCACACAAGCGTTAGAATGGAACCTTTTGGGGGTCTCTTACCAATCCACTGGCTGGCGCCTCTTCCCCAGACCTTACTACATAAACATACATACATAGACAGAAACACATACAAAAGCACACAGAGAACACCGACAAAGTGGCAGATCTACAAACCACAGATGCACTGTGCCAAACACGCATACATAGATACCACCTGACGCAAGCACATTCTCTAGAACACACAGTTCAAACGCACAGTCATCCACAAAATATAGAATTCTAAGGTTTTATATATCAAGACATAACCATCGTCTATTCCATAGCAGGTCCTAAAATTAGGTAAATACAACCTCAAATGAACACCACATGACATTACACCGTGTCATTTATTTAACAAAAAATAAAGCCAAAATGGAGACGCCATGTGTAAAAACCACACCGTTACTACTTCCATAAGAATTAAGAGGCTAAGTAGCAGATTCTGCTAATTGAATGCCCTTGATTAATTGATCATCAGAAACTGTGACCACCTCTAAAAAAGCCAATGTTTTAGCAGTTTGCTGGCCTGGAGCATTCAGTTGTGTGTTAACACAATGCCAAGGAGGAAAGATATCACTAATGGTCTTAGAAGCAATTATTGCTGCGCATCAAGCTGGGAAGGGTTATAAGGCCATTTCCAAACAAATTAAAGACCATCATTCTACAGTGAGAAAGAATTCAAAAGTGGAAAATCTTGAAGACAGTTGCCAATCTTTCCAGGAGTGGACATACCAGCAAATTCACCCTAAGGTCAGACCGTGCAATGCTCAGAGACATTGCAAAAAAAAACCTAAGAGTTACATCTCAGACTCTACAGTTACCATGTTAAATGTTAAAGGCCATTACAGTACAATTGGGGGAAAAAAACTGAACAAGCATAGTTTATTTGGAAGGACATCCAGGAGAAAGCATCTTTTCTCTAAAAAGAACATGGCAGCACGGTTTGCAAAGTTGCACCTGAGCAAACCACAAGACTTCTGGAACAATGTCCTGTGGACAGATGAGACCAAAGTGGAGATATTTTGCCATAAAGCACAGTGTCACATTTGGTGAAAACCAAACGTGCACATCATTACAAACACCGCATGCCAACTTCAAGCACAGTGATGGAGAGGGTGATGATTTGGGCTTGTTTTGCAGCCACAGAATGTAGCAACCTTCCAGTCATTGAGTCAACCATGAACTCTACACCAAGGTATACTAGAGTGAGGCCATCTGCCCGACAGCTAAAGCTTGACTTAAATAGGGTCGTGCAACAGGACAATAATCACAAGCACACCAGCAAATCTACAACATAATGGCTGAAAAACAAAAGAATCAAGGTGTTGCAATGTACCAGCCAAAGTCTAGACTTCAACCTGCTTGAAATACTGTGTTGGAATCTTAAGAGAGCTGTGCATAAACAAATGCCAGCAAACCTCAATGATCAGAAGCAACGTTGTAAAGAAGATTGGGCCAAAATTCCTTAAAAACAATGTAAGAGACTGACTAAGGTCATACAGAAAATGATTACTTCAAATTAATAGGCTACAGATGGTTCTACCAGCTATTGAATCGACCCCTGGCCCGCATCCTTAGCTGACATCATCAGAATTGATGATCTCAGCCAATCAAAATTATTTCCTATAGGAAAGCTGAGATTATCAGTTCTAAGGGGGCAAGCTGGGGACGGAGCCAAACACCACCCAAGCTAATCAGTATCTCCTCATAGAGATACATTGAATCAATAATAAGCATACTGCACGAATATGGGGCCAAAAAGAAATGTATTTTGCCAATGCGCAGAGTGTGCTTGGCGTGTCTTTTTTTTTTGGAACACTAAAGCGTGTACATGTACATAACGTCTACTCGTAGAGCTATAGTTTTACATATATGTGCTAGTGTCCCCTCGTCGTGTGATGACTTGAAAGGTGAGTTTCACTTACTTTTCACTCCTTACTGTGCTGGTCTTCATGGGTAAGCTCCGCCTCTTTGTCTGAGATGATCGAGATTGATGATCTTAGTCAATCCAATGCCTGCCCATAGGAAAGCATTTGGAGACTAGTGTGCATGCCATTCTGCAGCATTTAGATGGTCTCATAGTTTTACACGTCTACTTTATCAGAAGCTCCTCTAGTGGCTGTTAGAGTGACAGCCACTACAGGCATTTAAGCCCTGCACTGTAAACATTGCCTATGCTACACAACAACATTTTCACTTGCAGGGTTAAAACTAGAGGGACGTGGAACCCAGACCAATACAAATCATTGAGATGAAGTGGTCTGTGTGCCTATAGAATCCCTTTACATATATAAAGTTTTTGTAAACTCATAATGTGTCTAAGTGAAATATGGCTATATAATGAAACTCTCTCTGCAGCCAAGTGCCAGGTTAAACTGTGCACCATTCCAAGATACTGTTAAATTTTAATGCAACATCACATTTTACTTATTTTATTGGGCAGACTAGATGGGCCGAATGGTTCTTATCTGCCGTCACATTCTATGTTTACTTAAGTGTGAATGGGAAAAATACATAATGTTGCCCAGCAATGGCTTTCCTTGTCCTTTAAATAAATCTGATCTTTTCTGTTCCAGGTTTGCAGGTAGAGTTCATAAACCCCATTTTTGAGTTTTCACGCGGAATGAGGCAGATGCAGTTAGACGATGCAGAATACGCCCTTCTCATAGCAATCAACATCTTCTCCGCAGACAGACCGAATGTCCAGAACCACCAACTTGTGGAAAACCTTCAGCTCCCATATGTAGAAGCACTGCATTCCTACACCCGCATCAAGAGACCTCAGGTAAAAAGTCATAGGTTCTGATAATGCACTTAGTTAGTGTTTCTGCCTGTTTTCACTTTTTGTTGTACTTTATCATTTTGGTGACCATTTATGTTTTGCATTATGTGGTGTAATTTGCATTTTAGAGATTCTAGAGTTTGCATTGGTGGCCCTTGGCATTTAAGTTGTAAAACTGCAGAAGTCTTTAAATTGTGGACAACTGATCCACTTTGGGTTATAGATAAACCAGTTGACACACACTGCTGTTAATCAAGAGCAAGACTATGTGATTAAGTGAAGAAACTACACATTTTGGGTTAATTGCCTGTTCCCCACTGTAATCTATCTATCCAAGTTAACTCTGTTGGAACGGTTCTGCATGGTTAGCAAAGATTAAGGAATGTAGTGAACACTGAAAGTGTGTGTATATATGTATGCATGTGTTAAATATAAATAATATCTTAAAATTACCAGTTCTTCACCACCAGCCAGGCTTTATTAGTTACTTGCCACTGCACACCTAGAGGATCTTTGTCACAGTCACCTGTGACAGTCCCTCTCTCTTTCCTCCTCCTCTCTTATCCCCTCTCTCCCCTTCTGTCCCCCTCTCCAAAGCAAACTATGGCACAATAGCAAGTCTGTGTATCAAATGTACAGAGGCATCCCTTAGTTTCTTTAGTATGTTGGCCTGGTGTTCATCCATGCAGATTTGGTATAAGTTTGAAGTCTGCAAATTATTGTGGTAACCAAGCTACATGGACTACAATAAAATAATTTTTTTTTTTTTTTTACTTCCACAGGATCATTTAATGTTCCCTCGCATGTTAATGAAACTTGTGAGCCTGCGGACACTAAGCAGTGTGCACTCTGAGCAAGTCTTTGCTCTCCGCCTTCAGGACAAAAAGCTGCCTCCGTTGCTATCTGAAATATGGGATGTTCATGAGTAAACCTTGTATGCAGCATTGACCTGAGACAAACCATTGCATCTCACTTACTAAACCTCTCTACCAAGCTCTAAGAGTTGGATAAAGGACTCCGTCGGCCATTCATGGGCTGAAGACCTTGCTGGCCGAGTCTAATTAAGAGGAGCAGACGATTTTGAGGATATTGTCAAATATTGTTCTCTCGACCACAAAATTACAGCTTGGGGGAAAACAATCCACAGCTTTACATTTTTACATAGCTGGCCTGTGTCACACAAAGGGTATTGGTCCAGTTATTCTGTAAATGCAGGTTTTTAACCACTTGCCACTTTTTTTGCTCAGGAGCATAAACTATTAATTCCTCTTACTGGAGAAGAGTTATGTCGTAGGATAAGAAACCAATACGGTTTTACCCCTAAGCATCACTTTATACATTAGGGTCCCGTGAACTGCACTAGAAGACCATTGTTGGTCATTAAATGGACTTGGCCTCTATTGATGTAGTGGTTGTAAATCTTCAAAAGATCCTTCATCTTTGATCCTGAGACAGGGTGAGATCATACACACTGGACGTGTCCTTGTCCCTGCTGGTGTAGAGAGAGGTTTTCGGTAGTTTGTAGGAGAGCGTAGTACAGGCCCCAGTTGAGTGTTGTGTGTGAGAACACAGACCTTCTGAAATAATGCCAAGCGTTCGATCGCTGGTCATCTTTCTGCTACTCTTCCCCCAACAGGATTAAGATTATTTTCTCTGTGTCAAGAGTGGCATTTGAGTTCCTTCTGCTTCCCTACTTGTTATCCTGATCTATTGATTTTAGTCTCCTTTAACAAATCTCGCACTTAATTGGTTCTCCCTCACATTGCTCTCTTTTATTAATATGCACTTAGAAAAATGTTGTTTGCAAAGTTGAAATTGGGGAAGATCCTTTGTTTGGCACTTGCATCGAACTGTAGGTGTTATAGGGATGTCATGAAAGCCCGTAACAATGATCAGTAATTTAGGTTGAAAAGGACAAAGCACTCTATAATGATGTATTTGTGGAATTCCTGCTTTAACATTACCCAGGTGGCCTGTCTTTCCTGCCACTGCTTCATTTTAACACAATACTGACAATCAGTAGCTACTCAGACTAGCTTTAGGGCTGACCCGTTGCCTACATGTCTAGGGCTGTGCATTTCCTGGGGATGCTTTAGGACTATGATGGCTAGCCTTTGGTACTCCAGCTGTTGTGGACAATATCTGCTGTCTTGTGAACCTGTTCATAGCTTGTATACTCTAGTCTTGACATGGTCACTCAACATTTCAGACTTTTTAGATGAACCAAGCACTACTGAGTGTTGTAGAAGAACCCTCCGTAAGTCAGGTTGTAAATGGGCTAAGGAGAAGAGGTGGTTAAGAGGGCACACTAAGCACTTTGTATTTTCTTGATGGGGAAGAAGGCGCTATGTAAGAAATTATTACATAGAGAAATTGCAGGATTTAATAAAGTACATTAAGGCAACATTTTCTGTAGCAAAGGTGTACCTATATCAAAAGGATACGCCCCTTAACTTCCATCTCTACAATATGAAAAACAGCAAAATTTACTCTGAGCACAAAAAAAAGGTACAGCATAATGTAGTTGTTTTGTTGCATAGACTCTGTCCCTACAGTCTGACAAATGTAAACATAGAAATTTACTAGAAACGACAATGTAGGTGTTGTAGGGAAATCATCAGTCAGTATGCATCTAGCAGCTGTCAGCCAATGGAGGCACTTACTAGCAAAGACTTTTAATAAATGAAAGTTTTTGCATTCAGTGTCATCACACCTAGCATGATGACACCGAACTCTAAATGAATCTTCTTATAGAGAAGGCATTGGGATAATGATTGGTGCAGTGCGGCAATTGCTGTGCATGTGCAGTACGAGCCCAAAGCTTCTGAGTATCATTGGATTGGCAGAGGTCATCATCTCTGAGGCCAAAACACTGCTGAATTACAGATAAGTTTAACTCTATATATTTTTTTATTTTTTTTAAATACCAAATGTGGCAATAATATAAATGTTAAAACTCACATGCTAACATTATGGATAAATATGTTCATTTGGAATGTTGGAGTATTCCTTATGGCAGGAGATACAGTTTCTACAGAGAGTTATATTTTAATGTGCCTACATTTTATTTAGTGAAGATATGCCACTTACTTTCCTTCTGGAAGTAAATTCCATGGATCAGCTATTGTTTGTTTTTCTTTTATACAAAGAATCTCTAGCCATTAGCCATAAATTGCCCTCCTGTTTGAATTGAGCCTTTTTGTTCATGGTTACACACTTTATACAGAAAATGTTCTTGTTACTTGTTAATATCCATTCAGATATTTTTCTATAGAGTTCATTCTTTTATGTGTTTCATAGTTTGTGTTTTTTGTGTGTGAAACGGCCCAAAAATAAAATGCCAGTTCCTTTAATATGGCATTTTCAGTCAAAATGAGACTATTTGCCTTGCATGTTACATCAAAAATGTGTGTCTAAGGGAAACCCAATATTCAACAGTTGGTGTCCCCAAGGCCAGTCATCTTAAGTCTAGAAGTTCTTGCACAGCACCCTTCTATGATAGGGGGTTGCCCTTATTTGGTTTTCAGCTGTAATGATCTTCCTACTTATTCTGTACTTTGCCGTTTGTTTTCAATAAGCCTCAGCTAGGGTTAGATCAGTGGTAGCCAACAGGTTAGGCTGGCAATGCATTATGAGAGTAAGAGATAAAGGACAGCTGTCATTAAAAGTAGAATTTCTTTTTTTATATATATATTTATCTATCTTGATATAGAGAATATATAATTTTTTTTATTTTTTTTTAAAACCCATTACTTTATCTGACGGAGCAGCCATGTTGGGTCAAACTGCTGGGATTGCTCTGTTATGTTGAGCAGAGCAGCAGTTGAACAGATTATAATTGAATCCTACCCAACATGGCGGCTTAGTTTACTTTCCTTTTTTTTTACGTAAACATAATTTAAACAAATCATTCATTTTAATTAAATGTAACTTAAAACAAACAAAAATAAAAAATGGTGACAGCGGTCCTTTAAGGATTCACCAGCCTGCTGGCTAGCCATGTGTCTAAACCTGAAACACTTGGAGGCTGAGCTACAGCACGAACGCTTGTAGCATTGTCCACAGCAAAGTTTAAAAAAATAAAAGGGGAAAAATAACAGATTGTTAATATAATTCCAGTAAAGGCCAACTCCACAGGTAAATAAAATTATGTTGATCCCACCTTCTGTTGTTATGAGTCTTTAAACAGAACAATGCATCTTCAATATGTCTTATGTCATAAGTCTTATGAGGTGAAAGAGAATTGGTAGATTCCATGTATTTGCGTGGTTCTCTCATTTTAACCACTAAGCGCGATAGGCTTTGACATTGAAAACTCTTTAGGCATTGTATGGTATTAAAGATAAATATCTCTGCATTTTTACAATTTTATTTAAAAGAAGTATGGAACCCTGTTCTTATGATGGGCAAAACATTAACCAGTGTATCTTATAATTTAAAATTACAAGTTTGGGCTGAATCACTATTTGGAGAGAAGTTTGCGGTGGAGTCTCAGAAAGTATATTGTATCCAGGGCCGGACTGGGGATTCCAAAGCAGCCCTGGAAAAAAAAATCTATGCCAGCCCCATAAGTCATTGCGCCATATATTGTCGCATGTAATATGTAAGGCTATGTCTTGCAACCCTAGATGATTGAGAATATATATATATATAACCAAATGGATCTTGCACTCCACCAATTCAATATTCAATGCGCGGTGCTTGTCAGCCAAAAATGCAAAAAATATTGCCAGAGATAGCACTCCAAGGACTAATATAAAATATAACCTTTATTACCGCCACTAAAACAACACAAGGTCAACGTTTCAGCTTGATCCCCTCAAGCTGAAACGTTGACCTTGTGTTGTTTTAGTGAAGGTAATAAAAGTTATATTTTATATTAGTCCTTGGAGTGCTATCTCTGGCAATATTTTATATATATATATATATAGCTTTTTCCAATATAAAATATTGGTCCTTTCAGAGTAAAATTTTTAATTATACAGTAAGCATACTCACATGCATACACAGACAATCTCACTGACACAAGCGGATTGATACACAGCCTCATACATAAGGTTATTGACATAAAAACACAAGCTCACTCAGTAGCAGGCACACACACACACACACACACACAAGCAAGCGCGCGCACACACACACAGCTTAATGTAGTGGTATTGGTGTCTATAGCCTGTCCCTGCAGGCTTTTCAATGTAAACACTGACTTTTAAGAGAAAAGGCAGTGTTTACATTGCTTCCTAGTGACAGACACTCAGACGGTCACTAGAGCTGCTTCCTGTGTCAGTGCGGATTGGCTGAGATAATCAAGCTTGATCATCTCAGCCGTAGAGGCAGGACAAGGGGAGACCAGCATGACGTGGGAAAAAAAAAGTGAGTAAAAACACACATACACATACCATGACACAGACAGACCGTGACACAGACAGAAACACACACACACCATGACAGACACACACCTTAAAAAAGACACACACACCATAACACAGACAGACCGTGACACACACACACACACACACACTGCATGACACAGACGCACACACCATGACAGACAGTGACACACACACTAGGACACAGAGACACAAACAATGACAGACACACATTGCTGACACAGACAGACACTCACACACCATGACACAGACAGACAGACACACACACAAATGAAACACACACACACACACAATTTCTACCTGTGGGGACTGGCGGCTGGCGGCCGCAGAGGGAGCTCCCTTGGCGGCCGCAGGGTTTGCTGGCTGTTCTTGCGGGCCGCTTAATGAGACCGGGGCCGGAGTATGACGTCATATTCCGGCCCCGGTCTCTTTGTAGTGCGCTGGGGAGGGGGAGCAGAGACACAACAGCCAGCTCCCCCCTGCTGCCGCAAGAACAGCCAGCAAACCCTGCGGCCGCCAAGGGAGCTCCCTCTGCGGCCGCAGGTGAGCCAGCTGGCTGCCCGGCCCCAGGTGCCGACGGCCCACCGGGAAATTTCCCGGTATCCCGGTGGGCCAGTCCGGCCCTGATTGTATCCAACAGACCCAATGTTCATGCAATGAGCTAATCAAAAATAAGTTATTTGCATCTGTTGATATATGAACCATGAGAGACTTAGTAATATCTGTATGTTACAAGGCTACCTTGTGCGAGCCTGCCAGGTGAAAGCAATCCTCTAAGTATAGGGAAATCAAAGAGCAAGATCTGGCCATAAAGTCATGAACACATGAGGAGCAGTAGCTAGCTAAAATAGTCACAAACTAGAAATAGTGGATTGGTAACGATAAGTGAACTGCCATGTGAGGATAAGTATTCTACAGTGTTTGGCAGCTTGGAAGTGGCCATCTTAGAAGGCGACTTAATGTAGTCTTTTAATTTTGATTAAGAGAAAACAATAGTTTTAGAAAAAAATCACCTGTAACTGAGCTCCCCATACTCCGACTGAGTACCCTCCGTTGATGGACGCTTCCTAGCTTGCGCCGAGGACCACGAGCACCACTGCAGACTCTGCAACTGCCGTAGCTTGACTGGAGTCTCACCGTCTTCCTTCCACCCTGGATCAACTTCTGTTCTCCAGGACCGTGTGGGAAAGACCTCTTCCTTCCACCCTGTATGAACCTCCAGCATCCAGGACTGTGTGGGGAAAACCTCTCCTCAAAGGATAGCATAACAGAAACTGCTCTTAAAAGAGCTAAGTGATTAAAGCTCAATGGAGTATGCCGAGCATAGCAATTCCCAGTGTGAGTATAGCTCTCCCCTGCAATCATGAGACAAGACTACATTTTGAGGATCAAGAAGAACTGGCTTAAACTTTATTTTACTTGGAACTAGCCCATATGGTCATTACATTAACATTGCTGTGAAAACTCAATAAAATTACAAACAGTCAAATCATAGCAGGCAACATACAGTGACTTATAACACAATTGCATATTTTTAAAGAGGTGGGGGAGACAATAATTAACAGAAAATATCTCACGTGCCTGCAGAATTATCAATATGCAAATCTACCCAAATATGCAAATGAACCAGTCTTGCTATTCAGGTAGTGCATATTGCTGTTGCTACCAACAGATGGCACTAGACAAGCTACATAGCCAAATCCACCTAGTTGGTAGCAAACCTCAGCAGTACAGGAGAGCAGGCAATACATCCCAGGGGCCATAGTCACATGGCAGGAGGCTGGCAATCAGTTTTCTGCAATGCCCAGTGGCAAGGCTGGTTCCGCCACAGCACCCTATATATAGTAAAATCTTACATTTATTTCAGTCTACTGCTGCTGGATCTTCCCTGATCTGCCTGCTTGGCTGACATCATGAGAAGTAATTCTCTCAGCCAATCATTGGATTGGTTGTGCTTATCAAGGAGGCAGAGCAAGCACAAGCCAATCACAGCCCTTGCCAATCAGCATCTTCTCATAGAGATGCATTAAATCAATGCATCTCTATGAGGAAAGTTCAATGTCTCCATGCAGAGAGGAGGGGTGGGAGACACTGAATGGCAGTCACACTGTGCAGGACTGACCCAGGAAGCACCTCTAGTAGCCATCTGAGGAGTGGCCAGTGGAGGTATCCCTAGGCTGTAATGTAAACACTGCCTTTTCTCAGAAAAAATGTTTTAAAGGGACTGATTCTATTCAGCAGAACAAACACAATAAGCTCTAGTTCTGGTGACTATAGTGTCCCTTTAAGTTCAAATTACTATAACTGGAAATGCTTGCAGTGCAGCTGCTCTGGTCCTTAAATTTGAAATTCACTTTCAATACTCACTTTTGTAAATACCCCTGTTCGGGTATCTGAGCTGCTTGTCTCTTGTCAGGTTCACCAGGATTAAAAACTAGATGATAAACCCTGTGGCCACAAGTATTACAAAAACTCTGAAATTGTCTACTACTGGCATGATTAAGAGATAGTTGGTATGACCTTCATGCCTATGCGGTGGTGAGCTGTATAGTATTTCGAAGAACAGAAGAAAACCAGCAAACACAAGTTCACAAGAAAAAAAAACTAAAAAAATCTTCCAACAGAGGGTGCAAGGTTAACCGCAAAAAAGGAGTCCAGAACACAATGATTCTTCTCCTTGACCAGCACTCCAATTTATCGGATAACACCATAAGGGCTCTTATTCTAATAACCAATAAATTGGAGTGCTTGTCAATGAAAAGAACTAAAGGGACAGTTTAGGCACCATAACTTCATCTAAATTAAGTTGTTATGGTGCCAGGAGTCCCAACGGTGCTATCTTACCTCAAGGGGTTAAACCGTTCTCAAACAGTTTAACCCATAACTGAGCTTTTAACACCAATATCAACTTCCCCCAGGGGGTCATCCAGCTTCTGAAGTCTCAGGAAGCCTGGAGTGTCACCTGGGAGGGGCACTGCTTATTGCCTCAGAACGGTCTCCGCCATTAGGGACTCCCTATTCATAAAATTAGCTTGAGAAAGGTATGTTTCAAGGGTTGGCATCCAAACTGCTAACCGGGCACTATAGCGTTAGGAATACACACTATAGTGTTCCTTTAATGAAGGACAAATCAGGTATTAATGCCAGGAGTGTCTCTTCAAGTAGCAAACTTTATGACCATGACACAATTGTTCTGACCCTAATGTGTTTTCAAGGGACCCACACAGTCTGTTTTCTTTCATCGTCTTGGAATAAAGTTATGATCAGAGTTGTGCTCATCTGGTTCAGAGAGGTCATTAGAAATACAAGTGAAGAAATGGAAGAATGTTGACTTTTGCAGAAGTTCATGTATGAATTAGATAAGCCACCGCAGTGGGGCCTGGTTTTATCCGGTCAACAGAGGGATAGGTATTGACAAACTACTCAAACAGTTTGACACAAACCATTGTTGTAGGAGTGTTACTCAAGGGCTCTTTGCACCATAACCACTACAATATGTTGTAATGTATCTTCAAACTTTAAAAAAAAACAACACAAAAAGCACATCACCCCATTACAGTGTGGGAATGGGCAAGTGGGGCTTTGTAATTTAGCTGAATTTTTTTTTTTTTTTAGTGATTACAGTGAATGTTAAGTTCTTAAAACTGTGGATATGAAAAAAAAAATCAGCAAATTTATTGAATAGCATCAGTTAAAGGGACACTATAGTCACCAGAACACATTCAGCTTATTGCATTTGTTCTGGGGAGTAGAATCTTCAGGCTTCTTGCTGTAAACACTGTCTTTTCAGAGAAAATACAGTGTTTACATTACAGCCTAGTGATAATTTCACTGGCCACTCCTCAGATAGCTGTTAGAGATCCTTCCTGGGTCATAGCTGCCTAAAATGCATCCAAACATTTAGTTTCTCCACCCTCTGCATGCATTGATTCAATTCATCTCTATGAGGAGATGCTGATTGGCCCCTGATCTGCCTCTTTGTCAGTCTCAGCCAATCCTAAAGGGAAGCATTGTGATTGGATCAGGCTACCATTTCTGATGATGTCAGCAGGCAATGGGCAGGGCAAAACGAAACTGGGACAAAGCAAGCAGCTCCAGACTTGAATACAAGTAAGATTTTACTATATTTAGGGAGGCATGAGGGGACCAGGGTGGCTAGATGGTGGTTTTAACCCTATAGTGCTCCTTTAAGCACAAGAGTAAAACAGAATTCCAGTAATTTGTCTTTTGCCTATTTCCTTCTTGTATGTGGAATGTTACCACGGAGTTAGTCGTGAGTTATGAAAAACAATAGAAAGCAAATGCAGAAGTCCATACTAGTCTGGGAAACTTGTCAGCTTGTTGCATTGACGTACGAGCTGGTAAAATAGGAAGTACACAAAGAATGGAGCGAGGGACACTCACTAGATCATATATGTGCATGAATGATAGGGCAGCATAGAAGCACTTTGCAGACAGAATGGGAAAGACATACTTATTCTGCCAGTAGAACAGCATCTAATGTATGAATCTGTGAATACATTTCAGGCCCTTAGAATGTCTTAGGTTTACAATGTCCTTTTAAAAAATGTATTTATCTTCCTTTTCACATAAATTAATGTTGTTTAAAAAGCGTTTAACTGTCAATAGAAAACCAGTGGTATTATTTAAAAAGTTGGTGATATATTGACATACAGGGACATAGTTCCATAATCCTGAAGACTGAGGGGGAAAAAAAGGTTAGAAATTACCCCTTAACTATTAATGACTGAATTAATTTGCACTCAGACGTGCCATTCTGACATTGTCGCGACTGCTTACAGCCGGATGCGCCAGAGCTGCATGCAGCATCCTTACCGCCGTCTGAACAAGGAGTGGGAACTGCGGAACAGGTGAGTGTGACAGGGAACTTCAGCAATACAGAAAGATGAATCTATAAAGGTAAAAAAGCCACTCTCTACTGTTTTCTCTATAAAAAAAAATAATAATTTTGCTAATCTTAGTGCTGATATTAGCAAGGGAAAATATTCAGATTTAGGTCTAGGAGTTGGGAGAGGAGGGAACAGCAAAGGAAATCCTAACACTTGCTAGGATAAGTTTTAGGATTAGGGTTTGGTTTAGAGTTAGGCATACTACCTTGCAAAAGTACACATATGGGGTGTTGTAGTCAGGCGGTGCTTCTGAGTACAGTTTGCGGAATTTTATTACAGTGGCTCATTTAAAAAATTAAGCAGCAAAAATACAATGTGCATGAAATTTTTTTTAAAATAAAAATACCACAGACAGAAAATAAAAATTATGAAAAGTGGCACCTCAATAGAACATTATGTGGGAAAATGTCAGGGAGTGCTTCGGAATTTGAGTGGTGTTCCATTGCGTACCACTGCTATGAAAGCCTTCGGCCCTGGTTCAGTTGAAAACTGAGGATTATATCCCTGTTTGGGCCTGGAGTGCCTGGTAGATGAGCCCGTGATGCAGTACTAGTCATCTATCAACATTGCTTTCGCTTGTTTGCCAGAAAACAGCATTGTGAGCAGCCTGCGAAATAAGTGACAGTTCAGCAGCGTCCATAGTGTCAGGCAGGCCCCTTATTTTGATATTCTTCCATCTCCACTTGTCTGGCATGCGGATTTGGGATAGCGCCTGTGAGCGTTGCAGGGTAGAAAGCTACTTTTCGAAACAGGTAATGCGAGTCTCGTGGGCCGCTGTTTTCATCTCGGAGTTATGCAGATGCGCCAAGACCCCGCTGATGTCAGCCACTATGTTATGGTGTAGCTTATCCAGAAGGCTCCGTAGCGCGTCTTCCCTCTTCTCTGGGGCTTTAGGTTGTGAGATTGTGGCCCTGCTGTCTTGTCGGGCTAAGGGGCCTCCCTCTCCTGTCAGGGATTCTTCGCTAAAGGTACGTGAGGGCCTATCAGACATCGGTGCTATCGTAACCCTCAACATGGGTTGCAGCCTCTACAGCGGTTCACCAATATCGGCAGTTGTTGGGGGGCCTGCCGGGTTTGTATTTCTTGCTCTGACACCCTATGACTGTAGGTAAGTGTTGGTAATAGTTTAAAGTCGAACAAAGAAAGTTTTTCAGCATTTTTTAGCAAGTTTGAGCTGATTTCGCTCAGAGCTCTGTAGAGATGCGTCTGAGCAGGATGGCTGCCAGCTCTACCCCCTGATTTTTAATTTGTAAAAAATTTCTTGTGAGATACAGATTATTTGATTTATTGTGTGCTTCAGTGCCACTGTTTGTGCTTTGCAAATTGCAATATAGTGGCACTTTACTGCACAAGTAAACCGTGCCTGTACGGAGTGTGGGAGGTCTTATTTTTTTATTTTTTTTCTACAAAGAATCATAAAATTATTCTAAAATGTTTTGGTGGTTCTAATCTTTTAAAATAATCTTAATAAGCTTTGCAATATAACTATTGCTGCTACCTTGGCAGACATAAATTACCTTCAAATATTTTTTTCAAAATTTCTAAAAGCATTCTAACATTTGATGGTAATGTATTTAATGGTCGATGTTTTGCCCTGTTTGAGTCTCACGGTGTGGCTATGTCTGCTAACTCTGCAGACGCAGTAACTAATTCTACAGACTGGATGTTTTTCTCAGGGTGGAATACAGGGAGTGCAGAATTATTAGGCAAGTTGTATTTTTGAGGATTAATTTTATTATTGAACAACAACCATGTTCTCAATGAACCCAAAAAACTCATTAATATCAAAGCTGAATATTTTTGGAAGTAGTTTTAGTTTGTTTTTAGTTTTAGCTATGTTAGGGGGATATCTGTGTGTGCAGGTGACTATTACTGTGCATAATTATTAGGCAACTTAACAAAAAACAAATATACCCATTTCAATTATTTATTATTACCAGTGAAACCAATATAACATCTCAACATTCACAAATATACATTTCTGACATTCAAAAACAAAACAAAAACAAATCAGTGACCAATATAGCCACCTTTCTTTGCAAGGACACTCAAAACCTGCCATCCATGGATTCTGTCAGTGTTTTGATCTGTTCACCATCAACATTGCGTGCAGCAGCAACCACAGCCTCCCAGACACTGTTCAGAGGTGTACTGTTTTCCCTCCTTGTAAATCTCACATTTGATGATGGACCACAGGTTCTCAATGGGGTTCAGATCAGGTGAACAAGGAGGCCATGTCATTTGATTTTCTTCTTTTATACCCTTTCTTGCCAGCCACGCTGTGGAGTACTTGGACGCGTGTGATGGAGCATTGTCCTGCATGAAAATCATGTTTTTCTTGAAGGATGCAGACTTCTTCCTGTACCACTGCTTGAAGAAGGTGTCTTCAGGAACTGGCAGTAGGACTGGGAGTTGAGCTTGACTCCATCCTCAACCCGAAAAGGCCCACAAGCTCATCTTTGATGATACCAGCCCAAACCAGTACTCCACCTCCACCTTGCTGGCGTCTGAGTCGGACTGGAGCTATCTGCCCTTTACCAATCCAGCCACGGGCCCATCCATCTGGCCCATCAAGACTCACTCTCATTTCATCAGTCCATAAAACCTTAGAAAAATCAGTCTTGAGATATTTCTTGGCCCAGTCTTGGCGTTTCAGCTTGTGTGTCTTGTTCAGTGGTGGTCGTCTTTCAGCCTTTCTTACCTTGGCCATGTTTCTGAGTATTGCACACCTTGTGCTTTTGGGCACTCCAGTGATGTTGCAGCTCTGAAATATGGCCAAACTGGTGGCAAGTGGCAGCTGCACGCTTGACTTTTCTCAGTTCATGGGCAGTTATTTTGCGCCTTGGTTTTTCCACACGCTTCTTGCGACCCTGTTGACTATTTTGAATGAAACGCTTGATTGTTAGATGATCACGCTTCAGAAGCTTTGCAATTTTAAGAGTGCTGCATCCCTCTGCAAGATATCTCACTATTTTTGACTTTTCTGAGCCTGTCAAGTCCTTCTTTTGACCCATTTTGCCAAAGGAAAGGAAGTTGCCTAATAATTATGCACACCAGATATAGGGTGTTGATGTCATTAGACCACACCCCTTCTCATTACAGAGATGCACATCACCTAACATGCTTAATTGGTAGTAGGCTTTCGAGCCTATACAGCTTGGAGTAAGACAACATGCATAAAGAGGATGATGTGGTCAAAATACTCATTTGCCTAATAATTCTGCACTCCCTGTATATGAGCTTGTCTTCAATTCCCCACTTGCTTTTTCCTTTTATTCTTTTAAAAACTCTGCTTTTTTCAAACTACAATTGCTGCTGCTGCTCCCCCTTTTCATTAATTTAGAAGATCACAAAAGTAAAAATAAAAATACTCATTATCAAAAGTGGTCACTTAATATTTTGTTTAATAATAATATGATATATTTATGACTACTCACATTGTAAAAATGCTTGAAATTGTGTAGCCATTAGGCTAGGCAATATCTGACCTGTTTTTACATTGCAGTATGCTACTAGGTGCATTGTTTGATACATTTTGTGTCATCCAAATAGTTTTCTTTTTTTTTTTTTCAAGAAAATTGACATGGACGAAATTAATCGCAAATGAAATACCAAGACATTTTTTTTTCTGTCAAACTGATTCTGTCGGAAGGCACAATTCTATTTAATAAACCTATCTAGAATTACATATTGTTATTCTTTATACTCAATTAGCCAATGCATCTTCACTTCAGAGCAAAGAGAACTAATTCCCTTTTTAAAAAATTACGTTAACAGCAATCAAAAAGCCGAGAAATGGGGGGGGGGGCCTGACAGCAGAGCTAGCTGGACGTGCATGCAGAGAGCTCTGACACAAACGAGATTTAAATTGGCTATTACTGGCCAAAACCTTGAACTTAGCAGTCCTGCTCAACAAAAAATCATCACTAGACTGCGTGGAGGCTCGTGGACATCTGTTTTGTGAACTTTTTTCGAGAAATACCACACTCCACAAATGCGGCCTAGCACGGACAGCAGCCTCATGGTTGGGAGAGGCGGCCGATCCCCCGCCCTGGGGACCGCTACAAGCAGCAGCTCACCTGGCATCCCGCATCCCCCCCCTCTGGACCTGTGGGGGTCATCCCGGTCCCCACTGGGGAATCCCACAAACTCACCACAAGGGACTGATCTGCTGGAGGGGAGACCGCGGCTCGGGCCCAAAATGGCCGCCGAGCAGGAATCTCTGCAGTCTCAAGCAAGCCCTGAGATCCAGACCTGGAGAGAGCACTTTGAAGCCCGCTTTGATCGAATCTGCCAGGAATTCTGGAAGCGCATGGAGCATAAAGCCACCCATTCTGACCTACCTGCTATGAAGGTGAAGGAGGCTGAAGTGGCAATTCACCGATCCAGTGCCCACGCGGAGTTGCGCCCATCTTGCCGACGGGCCCGCCGGCGGACTCTCCCGACACCGAACCGAAAAGCAGCATGCCAACACCGACCACTCTCCTTACCACCTTGCCGCAGCTTCTATGCACGACGCTCAGATGGGAGCTGACTACATACTCGCGGACCCCTCCGCCGGAGAGCACACACATGGCAACACAGATTCGGAGCACAGAGAAGGCCCAGAGACAAAGTCCCAGCAACTGGACTAGATGGCCTTTCAGCCAGCGCTGAACAAGAGCACACAAGCGCTTGGGACTGGTACGGCGCTCACCTGCAGAGAGGTGGTCTTTTGATCCCCAGGGGTGTCAGTCCGCCATCAATAGGCATAGGTTAAGCAAGTAGAGGCACTTAATACCCACTCGCCGCATGGAGATGAGCAATAACCACCACTGGCTCACCTTTCCACTGCGTGCTCCCCGGGGGAGATCTTACCCTAGGGTTCTACTGTTTTTTTACACTTTCCCCCCCTAGCAGTCACATCAGTAATACAACCAGCTCAGGAAAACACCCAGTTGCAGTGGAAATTGTGCTTTAATCTTTACTTCCCCTTCTCATTTTAACTCTGATAAGTACAAATGCCAGTCTAGCTAATTTAGCAAGTCACAAACTGCTCAGAACTAGCTACTACCATGTCTAGCAATTACATCTGTATGTTTTTTGTTTTTTTTTTGGGGGGGGGGGGTTCTCCTTCTTTCGTGGAATTGTGCTTTAAATCTTTATTGCCTTGTTATTTTAAATTCCACTATGTACATATGCCGGTCAAGCTAATCTAGCATCACCTAGTGCTCATATCCAGCTATTGCCATGCCTAGCAACTACGTTAGGGTGTAAATATGCTATATCCCAATACTACGCCCTTGAGTACCCAGTGGCCCCCAAACTTTTGAGTTACTCATAGTTCAGCATGTCTCATAACTATCTCCTCGTTGACAAAGTTAATGTCAGCCTACACTACTTTCGATCACGCTTATTGTCTGACCATTCTCTGACATAACCTGTATTAACCTGTTAGTTACATAAAAATGTGCAATTCTCTTATATGCCACAGAATAATGCAATGTGAAATGCCTTTACTTGTTATCGTGGCCAAATATGCATGTCTGTCAAACTTATGCACACTAAAAATAAAGAATTAAAAAAAAAAAAAAAGCCGAGAAATGTGTAAGAAACAAATATTTTCTGAAGGCACAAAGTCAAAATATATGCATTTCGAGTATCTCCAATAATCTAGTGGTAAGAAAAAGGTGAAAAATATTAAAATAGGTAATTCCCTCTCCAATATGGTATAGTATAATAGTGTATCAATGTTTTAGAAATGTAACTCTCTAACAGCGACCAGTCAGCAGGCATAATTAAACCAGTAACCAGTGGTGCAGTAATGGCTAATTCTGGCATAGTCAGCCTTAAAGCTTAGAGAGCATCATAGTTAAATTAATTCAGGAACATTTGGCTCCAAGTTTACCTATCACTATTAAATAGTGAAATTAATTATTGTGTTTTTTTATTTATAGAATGTTCACCACTCTGCTTTGAGGTAAAGTTGGTCTTTGTGCACCAAATTTCTTCTATTATTACTCATTCTAAAAATAGTGAACTGTGCTGTGTGATAATAAAAACAATAGATCGAGAATAAAAAAGAAACGCCAATAGTGTAATATGCAAACAGGTGGACGGAATATTAGTAGTTTCTACTTACAGGAACTAGAGCAATGACCTGCTCTAGTAGTATGGAACTCGAGGTGGAATCATGCCCACCTGATGTAGGTCTGTAGGATGTCCAAGGAGCAGGACCAAAAT